AATATTAAGTTTTGTTATGTAAAAATACATTTCATTTTGTTATATTTACATTATTATTGTTTTAAATACATATCAATTTGTAATATTTGCATAGTTTTTGTAATTTTACTATTCGCATGTAAAATTACAAGTTTTATTGTAAATTCCAACCAATTACCGCGCGCCAAATCGTGATGCAGGGTTGCATCCGCTTCCAAAACGTCTTTGTTGTCAGCCATTGTGTTTAGTAGATGAACGTGTTTTTATGTGCACAGTTTTCTACAAGGTCTTTTACTATTGGTAAGTACTTTAAACTTAGTTAAAGATGCATAATTAATTCATAATTGTTTTAGACAATGTTAACCTGTAATATTTGCGAAATTAAATTATGTTCTTTAAAAAAATGTAACACTCATCTTCAATTGCATAGAAATACACCAGGAGCAGTGTTTACGTGTCTATATCGGAACTGTAGATGAGTTCTTAAAAACTACAACCGTTTTAAAACTCACTTATATATTTATAAATAAAGTTAAATAAAATATTATGTGCCTAAAAACAGTTTATTACTTCTTAATCATAATAAAAACAATATCTAATATTTAGTAATAAAAAATAAATGTAGTTTTTGCAGGTAAGTAAATATCAATCAATTATCGTTTTTTAAATTTTCTTAACAACTTCTATTAAATAAATAATCCTGAAAAAATATTTTATTATTTCATTACTTTTTAATGTTATAATATGTTGTAAATTAAAATTACATTGTGTTTTTACTAAAGAAGGAATTTTACATTTTTAAGTATTTGTAAATTTACATTAAAGTCAGTAATTTTACATTATAGTTTTATTTTAACTAGGGACTTTACATTGTAAATTTATATGAAATCTAGTAATTTTACAATATGATTTTATTTGAACTAGGAATTTTACTTTGTAAATTTAATTATATGGGTGTAAAATTACAATGTAATTTTAATACTGTTTTGTAAAATTACTTTGTTGTTGCAAATTTACTGGATTATCGATGGTCACCAGTCGCCATCAATAATCGTGGTAAATTTACATAATTTTTTTTTTGATCATCATGATCCATTTTTTTGCGACTTACTCCTGTAAAATCTTTATTTATTGTGCGATTTTAACCAGATTTGTTTTAAAGTGTAGATCTTGATAAACTGTATTTTTGGAGCAAAAAATAACATATTTTTACAAAATACAATGTCTACTAGTATGTCAGTTTTTGAGAGTAAATTTTTAGGAATTCATATTAGCATTAAAAAAAATTCTATTTATGGTAGGAACTGGATTCATCACCTCTCAAAACGACCCTATAGGGTATATATTAGGGTGTTTCATTTAAAACGAATTTTTTTTTCTTGCTGACACATGAAAATTTTGTTTTTTAGGTTGAAAAAAAAATTCCCTGAAAATTTGAGCCCTTAGTTTTGATTTTGTAGTTTTTCCATATAAAAAGCGTGTACCTATTTTTAATCATTTTTATTTAAAATTTCTATATTTTGGCCAGGTTTTGAATTATAATTTGTATCACTATAATTTCCTGCATAGTATTTACGGTTTTTGAAAGGCCCTGCATCAATTTTGTTTTTGATTTATTTACGTTGATTGTAGTAGCTCCAAAAGTCGTTTTTTCACTTTTTCTCATATATTTTTGAGAATATCGAGCGAATGACTGGTTTTACCGAAAAAGTTCAAAAAGTAGGAAATTAAAATTTTTGACAAAAAGGTTATCACGTTCATATCACTAAAGTGCTTTGTTTAAGAGATATAAGCAATTCAATAACCAAATATTCTGCAAGTTGTTCATAACCACAGAAAAAATTATCCGAATTGTAAAAAAAGTGAACTACTCGATAAATGTAAAATTTTACTATAAATTTAGTATTTATCTGATTATCCAAATTGAAATTTGTAATAAGTTACATTTTTAATATTTGAATACCTGGAGTCTTTGGTATGAATGTATATTTTGCTTTTCATGATAGTAAACAAAACTTATACACAATAATTGGTTTGGTAAAGTTAACTAAATATGGAATTTTATTTTTTTTCATGTTAATTGTGTTAAATTTAAGTAATCAATTGATATATACATAGTTATTGAATCAAATTACATATACATAAATTTCAATAAAATCTATTTTTTCTTTGTTTTTGGTTATTAAATTGCTTATATCTCTTAAACAAAGCACTTTAGTGATATGAACGTAAGAACCTTTTTTGTCAAAAATTAAATTTTCTATAACTTTTTTATTTGAACTTTTTCGGTAAAACCAGTCATTCGCTCGATTTTCTCAAAAATATGTTAGAAAAAGTGAAAAAAAACGACTTTTGGAGCTCCCAAGCAGCATTTTAAGTAAAAGTGTAGAGCTTTGAGGCAATATTACTTAATTTAAGTAAATATTTTGTTAAATTAACCTTAAAAATTTACTTTAAAGTAAAACTTTTTTTAAAGTTATTTAATAAGTTTTATTTATGTTATTTTTACATATTTTAATAACCCTTAAGTTTCAACACTTTAAAGTATTATGAGGGACGTCTTTTTTACGAAAGAAAATTACTTATAAGTGTATTTCACCTAAAGGAAAATTTAACGGTAATTTTAACGTCAGAATTTTTACTTAATGGTAAATGTTACTCATAAGTCATAATTTTACGATATTAAGACCACTTTATAACCGTAAATAATTCCTATTCGCCTGGTATTTTTTAGGGTTATTAGTGGTAATAAATACTTTTAATATTGACGAAACAAGGAAAAATAAGCTTAAAGTGAAAAATAAAACTTTAAGGGAAAATTTTTTTCAGGTCGCCATAATGAATTTTTTAAGATGGCATTCATTACTCATCTAAACATTTATATGATATTTTTTCATAAATATTTTTCTAAAATATAATAAAGAAAGTTTTAGTTATTAAAAAATGCTAAAACTATATAATTTTTAAAAGATTTTATAAAATTTTGTAGGTTTTAAGTTTTGTTGAATTTTTACCCAAGCAATAATTTTTCTTAAAACTGTAAAATATTTAGAGGGTATGTAATTTTTAAGATGTATCCTGCCTATTTTTATCAATAAAATACTGTGCGTTTGAGTTTTAATGCAAAATATTATTAGTTTTGACAATTTAAGTTATATTTTATAATTTTACCCTATAGGGTGACCTTTATTACTTTGTAAGTACCATTTTGTAAAATATAAATTAAAAGAACAACGAATGTCAATGTTTTTGAAAGAGAGAGAGCAAACAGTTAGTAATTATAACGTTATTTTTACGTAAATTTGTGGTATTTATATTGTTTTTATTACGTTATTCTCTTAGTAGATCCAAAACGAAATAACGAAATAAACCATTCCCCAAATTTGGTAATTTTTCGTATCTACAGGTTATAAAACCGTTTTGATTAACTGTATAAAATACTTTAAAGTTGACTTAGTAGTAAAGTTGTAGTTATTTAAACTTAAAATGCTGCTTGGGCTACTACAATCAACGTAAATAAATCAAAAACAAAATTGATGTAGGGCCTTTCAAAAACCGTGAATACTATGCAGGAAATTATGGTGATAAAAATTATAATTCAAAACCCGGCCAAAATATAGAAATTTAAAGTAAAAATGATTAAAAATACATGCTTTTTATATGGAAAAACTACAAATTTAAAAAGGAAGTACTTAGAATCAAAATTAAGGGCTCAAATTTTCAAGGAATTTTTTTTTCCATTTTTTTAAAACAAATTTTGTTTTAAATGAAACACCCTAGTATACTAAATTTTATTAAAAAAGTAGGAACGATTTTCTAGCAAAAGTAAAATTGAACAATAATAAAACTATAGTTTACAAAATCGAAAAAAAATTCTGCCCACCATATCCCATTATAATTTTTCCATGTATTTTGACACACTAAACACGAAAATCACAATCATTTTTTATGGAAGCGTTTATAAAATATGAATTTTCAATTTTCGGAGTTGTTTTGACGTTTTTGAGTATAGCTTGAAATCTAATTGATTGATTTTGTCAAACAAGCCCTTAAATTGAAGGTATTTGACGATTTTAATAACTTAAAATTCGTTTTTATGGCAAAAATTGAGGTCGAAAATTTACATATCATCCTGGGAAGGGTTTAAATAAAACAGATAACTCAAGTTTGAATTTTTTTCGTAAAGCTGACATTTTTACAAAAAAAAACAAGCTTATGTTGATAAAAATACATGGAAAATGACGAAGTTGTAATTTTTTTAGTGGAAGACCAAAAATTTAGCTTTTTGACGATTTTTATTTTATTTTGTTCTTTTATTTTGTAATATGTTTATTCTTTAATGAAAACCTAAGTATAGTGCATGATTGAAATTTGTTGAGTTTTTTACGTACTTTTTTCACCGAAAACATTATTCAAAATTTAAATTTGACATGACTGCGTAAACGTGAATTCTTTTGTTTCTCGTGTTGGCATAGTGATATTGATATTTCAACAAGGTATTTTTATCATTGTTTTATTTAGTTAATAAAAAGTGTAAAATGAGTAAAAGAAGTAGAGTTCGAGTGCGTAAATAACCTATAATTTGTTATTAAAATACAACATTTCATTTTTACTACATTGGCACGCTAAATTTGCTATTACTGTTATTTTTATTTACAAACTCTTCAAATGAAGATGATACCTTAACCCTTAAATTCAATATTTATTAATGAAAAAAAAACTCAATATTAAAACCCTTTATTAAGTTTTTTTTTAATTTTTATACATAAAATAAACCCTCATGCAACTTGGTAAGAGTTATTCCGTCATTTTCCGGAAAATATATTTTTTTTAGAACATTAACTACCACATAGCAAATAACAGACTGTTGTCGATTTACCTGCCGCGTTGATGCCGGTGCATCGCCACCGAGGAGGAATCCCACGTTACGTTGACGTACGACCATGATACAACAATCATGACGTACGACGGTCTTTTTCGTGCCGGCGTTTCGCCGCCGCTCAGTTCACTTCAGTCAGTTTCGCGATCTCGAACGGAGCAGGTGGTTGATTACTACGTAACCACGCACTACTAACGCGAACCCAAAAGCTCAAACCAGAAGCGCCGTCGATGACGGACGGTAACCTATAACAATAGTGAATATATTTTTTAGTTTTGCGTTTCACGACCCTTTTCAATTTAATTTTATTTAATTGTTCTGTAATGGTTCTTGTGTATGGTTGTTACTTTTAAAGGAATTGTGTGCAAGGTGTTGTGAAAATGAGGTGGTTCGGGGGCAACCCCAGCTTACTTAGCTACATATCCATTCTAGTCCTGTGCTATTGGACTATTTTGAATGTTTTCGCCGATACTAGGATACCACCCAGCTCAGGTAAGAACAAATACAACTTTTTTTAACCTTAGAAAAGTGTAAATTAAAGAATCAACAAGTTAAAACAACAAAAACTCGGTGGGATTTTAAAATTCAATCAAAACTGCTCAGTGACATTAAATTATCATTAATGTTAAATTCTCGTCATACCAACTATAAAATATCAATTGTCATGCATTAAAAATGTTATTTTTATCAGCACAGCGAAGGTAGCTTTTCGTAGTACATGTGTGAAATAACAAAATTGTTTACAGCTCTTAAACAAGTTTTAATTTATTTTGCACAATATATTTTTATTAGGACTTGAATTGAATTATTTTTGATCAATTAAGAAGTAAAGACGCAAAACTATTGCCGCTGAGTTCAACGCTATTGCATTTTGTACCGTAGGTACAAAATTAATCATTTATCATAATATGAGGACCCTAGAAGCCACGGATACAATTGTATCCGTGGCTTAAGTGACAATTAAAAAAAATGTATTTATCTACTCCTACATTGACGAGCTGTAACTTTATGGCGTTTTATTGACGGGCTGAAGTTAACAACAGTGGCTTTTCGACATTTTAAGTCACGGGCTGAAGTTAGCTTTATTATAAATTAGGAAAAAGTGTGGTTAAATTCGGGTGACAGTTGACAGATGTCAAAATTTTAACAAATAAAATTGGCTTTAAATTCTGTTTTGTGTTCGTCGTAGATAAAGTATAGTATGCAACTCGTTTATAAACTTCTCTAGACATTCGTTTTTATTAAAAACTCGCTCGCAAGCTTCGCTCGTGCTTAATTAAACTCGTAACTAAAATGGCGTTTATAAAACTTGATACATAATATACTATTATGTACAGAAAAAGATAGTAAATGCTACATTTTACATTTTCGGATATTTTTATTAAAATTTTTGCCGCCCTTCATCAGCCTGCCGCCCTAGGCAGCTACCTTTCTTGCCTAATGGATAAATTGGCCCTGGGTAGCCAAGGGATATAACTAAATTCTAAGCTTAGACATCTTGAAAAACAAAGTCATAAAACAACAAACAATTTTGACTTCAAATTACAAGTTTTTTTTTACTTTAAACATGATTATCTCAAAACTAAACATAATGTACTTTTACCCCTTGGCTTCTAGGGTCCTCATATACATATAATCTTCAAGCGGTATAAACTTTGTCGTCAACACTGGAAACCCTAGACAAAACATGATTATCTCAAAACTAAACATAATGTACTTTTACCCCTTGGCTTCTAGGGTCCTCATATACATATAATCTTCAAGCGGTATAAACTTTGTCGTCAACACTGGAAACCCTAGACAAAACATGATTATCTCAAAACTAAACATAATGTACTTTTACCCCTTGGCTTCTAGGGTCCTCATATACATATAATCTTCAAGCGGTATAAACTTTGTCGTCAACACTGGAAACCCTAGACAAAACCTAGGCTCGAAACTAAAGTGATTGATTATGGCCTAGGCCAGGCGCGTAGGCAGAAAAAAAAATTGGTGGGGGTTTTGCTAAAATATAGGAATAAAATAAAACTATAAAGATCATGAGCTTGTTGGGATTTATAAAAAAAAATCTCAAAACACAACGGGGGGGTCAAACCCCCAAAACCCCCCAGCCTACGCTCATGGCCTAGGCACATAAAAACTTTTATGAGGCTAGTATTTGTTTATTTTCTCTCCGCCTATGGCTTAGACGTCAGTAATTGGTCAATATTTTATTATGCACCGTGTTTGGCAAATCATAAAATTTGACCTCTGTCAGAGCGATCTAACCTTACTTTCTACTTTTAATAATTGTACGTTTCATGTATCGTGCCTTGTAAATAAAATGTTGTATGCAAGTCTAGATACACAAATATTTCAAGTAGCTTTTTTATCAAAAGTCAAAAATAAGCCTTTCAAATTTTGACTAAAATAGCCAGGACCGGCCTAAGTATTTTTTTAAATATATATATATATATATATATATATATATATATACAGTAGTGGCCATAATTAGAGCAACCACTGTAAAAAAAATCTAACTCCAAAACGCCTTTATTAATCTTTAAGAAAATTTGGATAAAAATACTTTAACTTATATCTCAGTTTACGTGTTTGAGGGTTTTTTTGAGAAAATATTTTTAAAGCCCATTTTTTTTAAATTAAAAAAACGTTCGAAAAATAACTTTTAGAGAATGTTAAACAAATAAGTAATAATGTAGGTATATATACAGTAGTGGCCATAATTAGAGCAACCACTGTAAAAAAAATCTAACTCTAAAACGCCTTTATTAATCTTTAAGAAATTTTGGATAAAAATACTTCAACTTATATTTCAGTTTACGTTTTTGAGGGTTTTTTGAGAAAATATTTTTAAAGCCCATTTTTTTAATATTAAAAAAACGTTTGAAAAATAACTTTTAGGGAATTTTTATTTCAAGTAAATAAAAAATATGCTGTTAAAGACCGTATTTTTGTTAGTATACTCTGAAAATTTTGTACAAATCAAATGAACAGTAACAAAGATACAGCGATTCAAAGTCGTCAAAAATGACCACTTTTCAGCAAAATAATCAAAAAGGGGGCATTTTTACCGACTTTGAAGCGATGTATCTTCGTTACTGTTCATTTGATTTGTACCTATACTAACAAAAATACGGTCTTTAACAGCATATTTTTTATTTACTTGAAAAAAAATTTCCCTAAAAGTTATATTTCAAACGTTTTTTAATATTAAAAAAATGGGCTTTAAAAATATTTTCTCAAAAAACCCTCAAACACGTAAACTGAAATATAAGTTGAAGTATTTTTATCCAAAATTTCTTAAAGATTAATACAGGCGTTTTGGAGTTAGATTTTTTACAGTGGTTGCTCTAATTATGGACACTACTGTATATATACCTACATTATTACTTATTTGTTTATGTTCCATATGTTCTCTTAGTAAGAGACTTACTAAACTAATATCGGTTTTGAGTAAAGTATCATTAATTGTCCTGTAATAATATTGAATTCTATTAACAAATTGACCTAAAAGCTTAAGGCTGGAAGCAAATATTTGAAGGGAGAATATAGGGGTACGTGTTTTCGCAAGTCTTTTTCCTTGGTCTTAAAGAAAATAAAGTTGTTATAAAAAAACTGAATTCCTGAGAAAAGTATGGTTATTATCTATAAAAATAAAAAAAGTTTAGTTGCGGTAATTTGTCTTTAGTAATTTTTACCTGGATAGATAAAAACACTTTTTAATTAATGGGAAGCGAGGATTACTCTTTTAATTAAAAAAAACATATACAAATATTGTGTTGAAGGCCTTTTTTAATTTGGGTGCATTTTTTAAAAAGTTGTGCATTTTATACTATAACTAAATTTAGTTTAAAAAAAATAAGTCACGCATATCTAGTTAGTTAATTAAACATTATATTGCTCTGTTTTTAAAACACGCTTTAGTAGTTTTCAATGGAAGATATTTTAATCAAAACTTTCTTGCGTTCTATACACTGTTAGCCTACATAAAATATGTACCGTTACTCGGTTTAACAACTTGACATAATTCTGAAACATATTTACTTAAACATTTAAAATAATAATAATAATTTTATAGAACTAGGTAGTTGTATTTTCGTGCTGTATAACAAAGACTTTTCTAGTTACTTAACTTTTTTTCTATCTCGGTTCAAAATCTTTTACATTCCTTGGGGGGCCTTTAACCCGTTCTACGGCTTCGCGTGTATGTCCGAAACCCAAATTAACAGGTTAATGATGCCACAAAATACCTAAATTTAAAAAACTTCTGATAATGTAGCATTTTAAATCAATAGGTAACAGCTGATTCTTATAATGACGGTAATTTAGTAACAGACTACGCGACGTCTCCCAAATCTAGAGGTTAATCCTTATTTAAGGATCAATCATTACTTGCATTTGCAGTTCTAGGTAATTTTTTATAATTAATTAAAACATATTTTTAATTAAATGTGGATCAAGTCTAGACAAATTAATATGAACTGAATTGAATTGCATGTCTGGCTATGGGTAGGTGCATTATACTTTATAATTAAGTATGCATAGTTCTTATAATTTATTGGAAATTTACATAATTTACCTTTCCAATAATTTTTAACGTGTGTAAGTTCAGTACACCCAGTCTAAATTGATTTATTAAGCATTACGTACAAATTATATTCCAGAAATTCTGATCTTTCAAAAATTCGAATTATAAAACATCCAGTTATTGTAATTAATATTAAAAAACATAAATATACAGCATATAACAACATTTAGTTCAATATTTTTGACATAACTAGTACCGATGTTGACAAGGAGTTGTTAAAATTACTGACCTAATATTTGTAATTGCAGTTCCTAAAAAAAAACTAGGTATTTAGTTTTAAAACTACAATTAGGTAGTATGATCTAATATTCTAACTTTTGTTTTTTGAACCATAAAGATTATTCCACTTGATCCTTCAGTAACATTATAGTTGAATTGAAACAAGTTAACCGATGTTAAAGAGTGGAAGAGAAGTGAATACATTATAGCAGGTTATTAACCTGATTGCAAACTTGAAAGAATTTCCAAGGTAGAGTAAAATCTTAACTATTCGATTGCGACCAAAGAATCGCAAACTTTCTTTAAAAGAATAAAGTCTTAAAGACTTCTAAATTTTATTCATAATTTATTATTTGGCTCGGTAAAAAGTTTATTTTTAATTAGGAGTTTCACTAAAACTTTGGATTTACTAGATATTCCAGGAAACAAAGGTTGTAGAAGGAAAACTCTATGGTAGTCGGGTTTTATTTTTTTATGTTGAGTCAGGGGTGCTGATAATGAATCAAGAATATTTTCCAAAAATTTCTTTCCAGGTCCCCTAATTTCATCCCCCGAAAGGGGAGTTTTTTTTGGCTCATAACGCGCTAACTGCATTTTTTCAGAATTACTAATACTTTTAATTATGTACTAAATAAGGCACACGTTAAACCTCATTGCGCACCTATACGATGTGCCCTTTTGCTAT